AAATTTGCGTTATCCCGCGCCTGCCATAAATACGACCCTACGACTTACTTCATTAGATCTATAGGTAGCCCAGCAGACTAGGACCAGGACTAGAAATCCAGCGATCCAGGTTCAAACCTCGTTTGGATTTTCTCAATTCGGATAAATAAAAATTTCCGCCATCTTGTCAACATCCGCCATCTTGTTTACTTGTAGCCGCCATCTTGTTTGACCGCCATCTTTTTACCCATCCCGTCAGAGAGGGATAGGGGAATGTTTTGACGCCAAACCATAAGTAGGTCACTGGGTCAAATATGGGGTAGGTGGTGGGGGTTTGTTGTGACGCCCCATACCTGCCAACATACTACTGTGGTCTTCCGCACCATCTTTGAGGTTTCACTTATGGCGCGTTCGATTTTTTTTTAAGTGGATTGTCGCCTGAAGCTCTATTGTACCACTTTTTTACACCTGTTATTAACAGGGTTAAATAATTTACAGTAGTTGACACTGTATTTTTGTATACTCACTGTACTTGTACTTTTGCGCGTTGCGCGTTTATTGGTGAATTGGGAAAATTACTTACTTTATAATTTTCTATAAATACAAAATATATTTTGTATCTATTATGCCTGTAATGCTTGTAAAATGTTCATTATTTTATTTAAAAATTATTATATATTATTTTGATATTGACGGTCCAGCAACATCATCAATATTTGCAGCATGTAACGTTATATTACTTTTTTTTTTTCATGGGGCTACTAGCATGTAATGTCTTTGCCGACATGAGAGACAAATGGTTTTCATCAATTACCATGTTTAGAACCGTTTCTTTTCTAGATTTTAAAGCCGATTTTAGAACACAAAGAGCATTCACATTGGTAACCGAAAGTTTATTGCGTTTTTTTGTTTTTATGTCTGATAAAACAGAAAACACTCTTTCCGAATCAGCATTCGAATTTGGAAGTAATCTAACAGCATTCAAAAAAGATTTTAGATTGGGATATTTTGCAATGTTAATAGAGTTCTGACTTTGTAAAATTTTTTTCCACAAATCATCAAAATTTAATTTTAAAAGATTTTCTTTTTCTACTTGTGTAAAATCATGATATAAAAGATACCATTCTTTCTTTAAACCATCTTCGTCAAAACCACCAAAAGTTTGAGCGATAAAAAAGACATCATTGAATGATATTTCTGTGTCACTATCCGATAAAGCTACGTTTGCTTCTAAAACTTTCAATTTAGACAAAAATTTGTCATTAATTGGTAATCTTTTTACTAATTTCTTCTGCAGCAGTGACGCAAAATTGCAAACAATTCTTTCGAACATTTGCAACTATGTCTGTGTGTCCTTCTTTCATTAATTTATCGAGATATTCCTCACATTTGAATCCTAAATTTACTTTATTTTGAGATTTTTGATTTTTTTGTTGAGAAAATTGAATATTATTACATACATTTTTTAACAATTCTGGTTTCAAAAAGTATTCACAGATTGTGGTTAGAAATTTTACTGATTTTGGTTGCAATAAATGAACTCTAGTTTCCGCTGCTTGAAAAAATGCATTAAATAAATTAAAAGTATTTAAAATGTTCTAAAAATAAAAATATGCTTTTACATCATGACGTTGCATTACAAGCATTAAATTTTCTGCAGACTTTGATTTTTCTGTCAACACCATATCAGTAAGAAAAAGCTTGAGAGAATCCCAAGACTCAAGAATTCTTTCAATACATGAATGGTGAGAAAGCCAACGTGTATCGGACAATCGTAAAATTTTGCGACTTGTTTCCAAAAAGCAATCACTAAATTCTCTATAAATAGCCGAACGCTTGGGACTACTGTTAATATAACTTGAAATCTTTTTTACAAATTCTTCGCAATATTCTGGTATTTCAGCACATGCAGAATGTGCAACCAATGCAGCGGAATGACATAGACATGAAATAGTTAATAAATGTTTACAAGTTTCTTCCAACTTTCTTTTAAATGATATATATTTTCCTGTCATAACAGGCGCATTGTTGCATGACAAAGCAATAATATTTGAAAATGGGATCATTAATTTCAACATCTTAGTTTTAAATGCATTAAATATTTTGTCCGCACTGCTACTTTTTGCGTCGATATTAATTAATTTTCTAATTGCGTGCGAATATCTAACGTTTTAGGATCAACAAACCGGACAAGAAACGTCATCCATTTTTCATTACAAATATCAGACGTTTCGTCTATAAAAATGGAAAATTTAGTATTTTGAATGCTGTTCACCACACGGTCTGTTTCAATCGGACATAAAACGTTAGAAATAATATTTGTACATTTCTTTCGACTCATACACATGTTTTGTAATATGCTAGAATCTTTTCCTATTTCTTGGAAAAAATTGAGAATATCTTTCGCAGTTTGAAATGAAATATTTCTATCAGCGATTAACGCAGCATATCAAATTTCTGCTGATTTTCTTCGCTCTTCAAAAGATAAATCTTCAAAAGATAAAAGCGATTCGTCTCTCATGTCGACATCTTCATTTGATATTTTTCTTTGTAATTTACATTGTTCTTTGTGTCCTTTGGAATTTTTGTGACGATAGACGTGCGATATATCACCCATATAAGATTTATTACAAAATGTGCAAAAAAATAAACGCTCGTCATGTGACACTTCGCGTAACCATGGCTTAAATAGCTCTATATCTAACCATTGTTGCCAAAATTTCAAGTTGCTGAATTGTCGTGATATTTTTGTTCTCGGACTTACGTTATTATCTGATAACGACGATAAATTTTCTTTAATTTTATTCTTATGACACGTAGAATCCGCATGTCTTGCAACATGCGATGTGGAGCATGACATATTTTTGTCGCATATAGTACAATAAAAAAGGTTTTCATCTGATGATACTTTGCGTATCCAAGATTTAAAGCGATCATCATGAAGCCAAGATTCCGAAAAGCTTCGCTTACGTGTATTTTTTTATTTATCACCCATTTTTCAATTAATGAAAAATAGATAAAAACAGTAAATCCGAGAATAATAGAGAAAATAAATAATAATTCGAAAAACTTACAGTCGGAATCCTTGCAACGCGAGTCAACTGTCTGAATACGAAAATGTTACAAACACATAGAATATGTTTACTTGCCAGTATAAGGTGAGAGAATTAATTCTTCAAGACGCCAGTTTTGTTTCAACAGCAGCACGCAGTGGAACAATGTCCCGTAAGTAGAGAATAAAATTATAATTATTTGTATTAGAAAAATATTTTATATATGTGCTTATATATAAGAACCAAGATTTTCAATCGACCGTAACCAACGGTAACAACTAAAAAGTGAACAACGTGTTATGATATTAGGCATTATATATTATTGATGTGTACAGAGTCGACCGCAAGACGTAAACGCGAGTGAGTAAACGCAAAACTTTGAAACAGACAGAAGAAGTGTGTTAAAATTTTTTGATAAATCTCGAACGGTCGAGAATTTATATAATTTAACTTTACTTTTATTTTTATTTTTATTTTTATTTTATTTATATATTTATTCTTTTTATTTTTGCAGAAGATTTAGAGAAAAAAATCGCTGTACAGCAGCAACAATTAGACCAACTAGCTGCGAATCAACAGCAGCTGCAGTATCATATTGCATATTTGCAGCAACAGCAGCAGCAGCAGCAACATCAAAAGGAGTTGCAAGAACAGCAAAATGAAAAAAGTATTTGTCTATTTGTACTAAAAGTGTTTAGATTAGATTCGTTAAAATTAATATTTTTGTCCTATAATAATAATTTGAACAATAATTTATAGTGTGATAATAATCGGCAATAAATAATACAATTTTGCACTTTTTAATTAATTATGTTTATTTTTCAGATACAATTGAAGAACAGGACAAGCGGACGGCTGCACAGTGGGCCAGAAAGCCCGAATAAGTGGCCAAAAGTCACTTGAGGATTTAATGTAAAAACTATATACTAGCATTATGTAGACATCATATTGGATATGTGAAACGATTTTTATAAATATTAATCAATTATTCTCCAGTTGGTGCAGGTTCCAATCTAAAAATATGTATGCGCTACTTGTAATAACGCTCCATTTATTAGATTTATTTTAAATGGCTGATATTATTTTTACCAGTTTTTAAATTTATTTTACATGCTGGTATATGTACATTATTAAAAGACTGAATAACTCTAAAAATAATTACAATATTTTAAGAAATGTGAGATTTTACTCGAAAATTGTGCAATTTTTCTTAATGCTGACCACTTCCGTTCCAGTTTCCCCGAGTTTCCGCAGCCAAGCGAATAGTGCTTTACGTCACTCTATAGCCTATTGTGTGTATTTGAAGAAAAATCTGCGCTTTTTTGTGCTTTTTCGCATACTACAGAGAAAATGATCCTTTAAGCCGTGCACAACGCAACGCGTTACCGTGCGCTATATGCATATTACTTAACCCGATTTGCTTATATAGGTGTCTTCGAACGGGTTTGATTCATTTAGAATTTCGATTCTTCTGACTGTGATAGTGGCAATTGATAATTTATGTTTTTGTAGTACAATTTCTCTATTACGTGTTGGTTCGAGTAGCGTATTATATTATATTATATATTTCATTTCATGATCTGTACATTATTTTTTTTTAATTAGAAGTAGTTAAATTAAGCGTTTTTGAATTATTCTTTACCTCTATAGTGTTTCTTTTGTAGGATTAGTTTTTATATATTTTTAGTATTACCCATTACAAATTTTATATTACTATAATATAAACTATATAAATTGTTATTGAAACCGTGTGAGCTTTGGTGGACGCGGTATAGCTCGCCGGAATCCGGGTTTGTTCGGTTGGGGGTACGTCGATAAAATAAATGCTCGGTTGTAACAAAATAAAGAAACAACGTTTATTAAACTAATATGTTGAAATGACTTGCTTCAAATGATCTGCTTAAATGATCGTGTGTACATGCGAAGCGTGTGCGAAGCGAATTCGGTACAACTGAGTTGCGTGCGGAAAAATGTACAAAAGGAGAAAAGCTGAGCGTGTTGAATACAGAGTAATACGCGGAGAATATAATCGGCAGCGGTAAATGGTAATTAGCAGCGGTAAATGACCCTTGGTCTACGCGTGACGTGAAGCGTCTTGGTGCGATCAGCGAGAGCGCAAGCGCGGGCGATCCTGTCGTAGCGGTTGGTACAACGCAACGCTCGTCGGTGAATGCGTTTGTGATGGTACCGCAAGTCCGTTTGATCGTAGATCGTGACGGGTCGCTCGACGGCGCGGATTGGTCGACGCAGTTTGCCCGTCGGATGGATTCTGCGGATGAATCCCGGTGCGCGGTAACGCGAGATTAGGACCAGGACGTCGAGTACGCTCGACGGGAGTACGAGAACGCTCGTACGAAGACGAATTTAGAGCGGCAATCTGACTAAGTACAAGGGAATGCCCTGTATACGAAGATCGATGCTTGGAGGAGCCGAGTACGCTCGACGGGTATACGAGAACGCTCGTATCGAAGATAGAAACGGTACCGAGGACGCTCGTGTACCTGGAAGAAGGCATAGAAGCCGAGTACGTTCGGCGGACTATGAGAACGCTCGCAGCAGGATTGTTCGTTGTCTAGCAGCGAACAGGATCTGGTGATTAGGTGTACAGCCAGGCCTCTTTTATACCCGACTGGCGGCCGACTGACTTCGGATCGGCAAGCATTGGCGGTTTCGGCGGCGAGCCCCCCCACAAAACGGATTTTCGGACGTGGGGAGTTTTCGGCGATTGACCGCCGTTGTTATGACAAGAAGTTTATCGGCGCTCAATGCGCTCTTGGTGGGCTACGGACGATGGTCGGTCCGTAGCCGTAACGATGCAGCTTGCGGGCTGCACCGTTACATTATAACTATGTTAAACTATATAAATTGTATAAACTATAAAAATGTATTTTACAAAAAAAGAAATCCTTGATTTAATAAAAAAATAAATCCGATGTAATAATGAATCATATTTTTTCTAAAATAAATGTAAATAGTGCAGATGTTAGTCATGATAGACTTAAACGTTTGCAGGTTGCACTATTCACTTTGAAAACAAAGTATAATATAAAATTTAATGCTGCCAATCGGAAAATCGAACGATTCAAATCTAAAAATTCAACTTGGTTAAATTCTGAATTTTACGTCCCGGACTTACAGATTAATATTGACAAAGAAATAAACAAAAAATAGTACTCTTAGTTCTCGAATTTAATCAAACTTCTGACAGATCGAAAAGGAGAAAAGCTGCAGAGATCAGTATGCAACACGACATTGATCCTGAAGCAATGGTAATGGCGGGTTGTTATGCCGCAAGACATTCGGGACAGAGTGATCTATGTTCAGTTCTTCAGAAAATATCAAAAAGTCCTGAACAACTAACAAAAATTGAAAATATATTAAGTTCAGCGGCACAACAAACATATGCGATAAAAAAGAAAAGCCCTGAAGAAGCTTTACGATTTATTTTAGATAATTCTTTATCTAAAAACGTTTACGTAAATCTACGCTTGGCATCGAAAGAGTCTGGCGCAGATATCTGGCCACCATACAACGATATCCAAAAAGCTAAGGCAGCCCTAAAGCCACCAAAAGAATTGGCTTCAATTTCAGATAACTCGGCTGAGGTTTCATTACAGCCACTTTTAAATCATACTGCAAAATGAATAATCGAACTACAGTCGGAAGTTTTAATAAAAAATATGCGAGATTCTCATGTTAATGAACTTGAAACAATATTAATATGTTCTTGGGGGTTTGGTGGAAGTTCTGGCCACTCGACTTATAAGCAATATTACAAAGACAATGGAGAAAATGCAAGTGATGAACATTTGTTTGCTACTACCCTTATTCCTTTAAGATTAATTACAGAAAGTGGTGTGATTCTATGGAATAATCGGGTATCGCAATCACGAAAATTTTGCCGACCGATAAAATTTCATTTTATTCAAGAAAGTAAAGAAGTAATTTTGACACAAAAAAGAAATATCGAACAACAAATAGAACAACTTGATATCTTTGAATATAAAATAGAAAACTATTCAACAACAGTTCGTTTTTCTTTGCACATGACACTAATTGATGGCAAGGTGTTAAATATTATTACTGTTGTTGTGGATGGTTTCTAGAAAGAAATACACCATCCCAAGTCATTTGAAATACTTAGTAGGTTTATTATAAGCCAACACTTGGTTATACAGAACAGCGTTGATATAAAACGTGAAAAACAGAACAGGGCCAAAAGCGTAAGTCTTCGTAAACGCATTTGCAAAAGCGTAACCAATAAGCAATCAGCAAAATGGAAAAGAACGAAAAGTAACATGCGACTTACAGATAGATACATAAAAACAAAACCAAAGAATACACTTTAATCTTACAACACTCTCCCTAAATTGTAGCGGAGCCGGGACCGCTGTGGGAAAGATCGCATCACTGCGGGAGACTATTGCAGTCTCGGAGACGTGGTTGGCCGGCAACAGTTTTGAGGGGCGTCAACGGTTTCAAGTGGTCAACACAATGCTTGTCCCGTTTTCCAGGCCGGCTCAGCGACAGTGTACCAGTTTTTATTCCTGGGCCAATCAACATCAACGCCTCGACGATCGAGGAATATTGGGATTTGCTGATAAACAATGAAATGATTGAATTGATTGTTGAGCATACAAATAAAAAAATTGAAGATGTCTGTGCTAAGGATATGGCTGCTGACAAAGACATGCAGACTTACCATCACTTGACTGATGTTGCGGAAATGAGAGCATATTTGGGAATGCTCTATTACAGCGGACTATGGAAACAGTCGTCACTCAATTATGAGCGGCTCTGGGACAGAAGCAACGGTACGACTGTGTACAGATGCGTTATGTCTCGAACAAGATTTATGTTTCTGTCGACATGTCTGCGATTTGACGAAAAAAATATTAGAGATAATGCAGACAAATTCGCTCCAATTTGCAAATTATGGAACAGCTTTATAAACAATTGCCAGCAGTATTATAAACCCCACAATAACTGCACTGTCGACGAGCAGCTTCTCGGTTTTCGAGGCAGATGCTCGTTCCGCATGTACATCAAGTCGAAGCCCGATAAATATGGCTTGAAAATAATCAGCTTGAACGACGCATCTACATCTTATATGTACAACGCTATGCCTTATGTAGGGAAAACGACGACGCCTGTTAATGAGTTTGTTGTTGAGTATTTTTTCAGAGAAATAACACCGATTCACGGCTCTGGGCGCAACATTACTTGCGACAATTGGTTCACCTCTATTCTACGTATTCAACGGATGCTTGAGGCACCTATAAATTTACGCATCACTGGAACGATACGCAAGAACAAGCGCGAAATTTCTCAAGAGATGAAAGTTGCTGAGAAACAAACTCCGGTAGCCAAGTACTGTTTTACAAAAAATCTCACGCTGCTGTCATACAGTCCCAAAAAAAATAAGGTTGTGTTATTACTAACCTCTTATATGCACGGTAGTACCCAGGAAATTGATGGAAAATCCGAAATTATTGATTATCACTGTTAGCAATCGCGTGAAAATAATTACTTATATTACCGTCCGTCCAACCATCGTTTATCTGTCAACAAGGCCGATATTTGTTTTGGTTACATAACCGTTTCTTTCAAAGTTCTAAACAAGCGCTCTGTGCCCCTTTCGAGCCACCAAAGTAAAACCAAGCAGCGTATATAAAGCGCTTCCTCGATTCCGGAGCCAGAAGTTTTTTGAATTTGATACGAAGCGAAAAACGAAAATTAAGATAGAAAACGTTCGAAAAGTCGCGAGTGTTCGATCTCAGACTCACATAAAGTGGTCTTATGTAGTGAATTTATTAGAAATAAACGCATTTCTAAACTTGTAAATTTGTTGAGTGCAACCGGACATTATTTTGCGACATCTCTCGATATTTTATTGCCTTCTCCAATTTTCCGTTTTTCTGCCTATCTCTGTCTCTCAGAGTTCTTGCTCACTTTCCGAGATTGTCGATTCGCTCTGCGAACGACAATAAGTCTTTCTATCTCTTGCTCTCTTGCGTTCTTCTCACCGTTCTCTATCGCTCTAATCCGTTACCTAATTACCGCAATCGACACCTGCATTCATTCAGAGTGCTTCCAGCGCCTCTTTATTAAGTTCCAACATATAAACCAGTGTCAGCCTTGGTTTCGCGAACAATTACAATAAAACTAAGGGCGGAACAGACTGTTTTGACAAACTATGCCACTCATTTACCGTCAGCCGAAAGACGAATAGGTGGCCTATGCGTATGTTTTTTAGCATTTTGGACCAGGCAGCAGTAAATGCGCGAATTTTACTAAAATGTAAAAATAATATTCATGGCATCGCAGGAAAAGTTACACAGGAAGCGTGCCTTCACCAACTCTACTTGCATCTGACCAAGGCCCATTTGCGAAAAAGGTACACCACTCCAACAATCCGAAAGGAAATAAGAATTGGCATTGCTAATATTTTAGCGTTGAGAGATTTGCCATCGACCACCAAAGACCGCCCGAAACTAGAGAAGCATAAACGCTGTCAAGTGTTCCTCAGAGGCACCGACAAAAAAACATTTCTTGAGTGTCCGAGCTGCAAGCGACCAATGTGCGATAAACATCGCACATATTTATGTGTTGAATGCACTATAGGCATTGAATAATAATTACAAATGATATATTTACTCTTTTTCTACATCATTATAATTTTTTTATTTATTTTTTCAAAATAAACAAAGATTTTTCCATAAATTCATGGGTATCATTCTTTTGTCAAAAATCCTAACTTTATTCGGCAAAATAAATATACTTTTTGGAAAGACCATAAAAGTAATAATATCTGTCTGAAAGCATGTCATTTTAGATTTATAAAATCATTTTTTTTTAGGTTAAAAATAAAAAAAATTATAGCGATTTTTGTAAAAAGTCATTTTCAAAATGGTTTTTTTTCAACATTTTTTTTGCATATGTAAAATTAAATTTCTTATGTACAGGGTGTACCATTTAACTTGAGACAACTAAATATTTCGAAAAATAAGCATTGTACAAAAAAAATGTCCAAAATAAAATATTAATATTATCAAGGGGGACGTCTGCCTGTGTAAAAAATGAACCCGCCCCCACCGTCCCTTGGAGGTGGGACGGGTGGCAACTTTGAAATTTTAAATGGGAACCCCCATTTTTTATTGCAGATTCGGATTCCTTGGAAAAAAATACGTAAGTTTTGTCCGAGACATTTTTTCTAATCGTGATAGATGGCGCTGTAATCAGTGACAATTAGTTTTTGCCATTTTCTCTTACCATCGGGGTGCTTTATTTCGGTGAGTCCCCTCGCCTCTCACTATTCAATTACAATAAATGCTCGAAATGATGACCTTCCATTTCGATGTATTTATTAACTCGAGCTTGGAATGCTTGTACACATGTAGAAAGTGTATCTGGCGTTATTTGTTCGCAAGCATATCTAATACGTTCCACCATGTTTTCTCGAGTATTTGGTACTTCTGTATACACTTTTTCTTTAAGATAACATAAAATTATTTCAATTTTCAAAATTATTTTAAAATTATTTTAACTTTCTCCTCTAAAGATAAATAATCCATTATTTATTTGCTGAAATAAAGAACGCGTCTGTAAAAAAACAAGTAGCTAGCGTACGTATTACTGAAATTTACTTGACTTAAAATTTAAAGAATCCAGTTATTAAAGAATTGTTCTGACTTAATTTCTTTCATTTATTTTGTTTCTTTTTTAGTATTTTCAGTATTTCAAAAATTTACTACATATGTAGATGCCTCATAGTTTTGATACGT